GAGGATTCCCTCCCCGCCCAGCCCCACCCCACGTAGTTGCGTACTGCCTGGCTGGTAGACACACTCACGCAGCCTGAGTACTGATACTCCTAATAATAATAAAACTTACCTAATTTGAAAATACCGGACATTTTATGTGTCCAGTTCAAAACTGGACATCTGGCAACCCTATTTAGATTAATCGATAAGATTTTCCAGTCATTCTTTCCCATCCCATCCCATCTCCAGTGTTCTATGGCCGCGGTCCCCAAATTATTGCTCACCCCCGGAACTAGTATATTAAGCTTGGCTTGCATATTCTGTTTTACTGTATTTTACTTAACTTACTTTATTCAGTGTGCTATCTCTTATGACCACTTTTATACTACTTAAATCACTTTTGTTTATTAATAAACCCTGTGTAAGTAACTGTATTTGGGAGCAAAGAGTCTGAGCATCTCTCTATATATACACAGAGAAAAAGAGGGCAAATTTCATGAGGCTATATCGATGGCTATACAACAAGACAGATTTATCGAAGATTCAGATCCTAGAGGAGCTGTGTGCTTGAGTTCTGAGAAAAGGGGTCTCACTGTGCTGCTTACAGTGTGTGTGTCTGCAGCCTTGGGGTATGGCCCTGGATCTCAGCTGAAGCAGGCTGGAGAGCTGGGTTCAACAAGACAAGATTCAAGGGTGCCAAAGCTGTCAGAGAATGCAGGATTAATGAGATCTTAGCACATCAGTAACAGTCCAAAGGGGTCCCCACTCACCACATTTTTTTAGGAGTTTCCTACCTCATTATTTGGGTCCTGAATAACCTTATAAAGAGCTGGCACCAGTGATTTTTTCCGGTGCAATGTGGATGCATAACTGGAGATTTGATTTTCAGGTAATGCCTAAAGAAAAAAAGATATAGACACCAGTTACTATAAAGAGTAGATCTCATGTAAGTTTTCATGTATTAATAGACGCCTATGAACAAGTTTAATCTGGCTTGGTAACAAACACAGCAACAGCAATTCCTGAGCTTTAGTCTAGACAAATTCAAAAGTTACTGAACTACTAAAAGTGGAATTTAGTCCTCTCACTACTGATTCATGCAAGCAAGCTATCCAAAAACCTTACAGTGCTGGATCTCAATCCTGCATGGTGCTGAATGCTACAAATATTCATCAGCTTGGGTGGCAGTTGAAGATATTCAGGAATTTCCAGGACTAGGTCGCAATACAGCTCTAGGCCACTCCATATTAAAATTCTTTGCCATAAGCCCAGTGAAGTCTCGAGACCCTCTCCTCTTTTCTCTTTCTTAGCAGGATGCAATTAAACTTTTTTTAAGAATGCTACGATAATAAAGCTTCTGATTATTAAAAGTGAAAGAATTTTAAAAATCCATTTTACCTATAGAGATATACCTATCTCAGAGCTGGAAGGGACCTTGGGAGGTCACTGAGTCCAGTCCCCTGCCCTTACGGCAGGACTAGGTACCATCCCTGACAGATTTGCCCCAGATCCCTAAACACTGCCCTCAAGGATTGAACTCACAACTTTGGGTTTAGCAGGCCAATGCTCAAACCACTGAGCTCTCCCCCCCATAGAAAGTAGATTGCCTGTAGGCTGAGAATAAAGGAGGGACACTTGTCTCTATGTGCTATTTTATATTTCTCATCTCAAAGAAAGGCTTGGTTATAGTCAAGACACTTTCCCATCCTGTGTTCCACAAAGGGAGGTATAGTTATTTAACAACTATTTTCACTACAGTTTAAACACTTCTATTAGCCTTAACCAAAAAGCTGGTTTAAAGTTTAAATTTTGTAAGCAAGTTGACAGTTTCCCTTTAAATTCTATCAACTTGGTTTACAGAGTGTGATGCATTTTGAAGCAAGATCTGTGTAGCATGATATATGTTGTACTACATTATTATAATAAATGTGCATCTCAAATTTTGCTTTTTGTATCAATTAATACCTTTATACAGACATCTACACATTGTGTACTAGAAGAGATACAAAAGATTAAAAATCAAAATAAACTTTTATACTTTACATTTTTAATCATTAGCATTCATAAAATGATGTGCCACTAAACAATACTGTAATTGTCATACACCTTGAATTCTGATAGCCATTCTTCAACCACACCATGATCTGATCCCAGCATTTTCTTTCAGCTTCTCTTTTTAGTTCCTAAATGTAAGAAAGGAGAAAATGCTCAAAAGATAGAAAAGACAACTGGAACAGAGAGCCATTATGTAACAAAGCCATAAGTTGTAATGACAACTCTGGATATGTCTCCCCACCCCCCAAAAAAAGCAAAAAAAAAGCAAGAACAATTCATAAAAATAATATCTTGGAAGTCATGGTGGCATATATTTTATTTCTTAATGCTATTATAGAGGATTGTGAAGTTTCTCTTTCAAGCTTCAACAATGAAGATCTATCTTAATAGTAAAGTGCATTATTCAGAAAGTTAAACATACAAAATCACTATTAATTTAGTTAAACCACACAATTACTAATTATTACTTTCCTATCATATAACAGTTTTATTGTAGCATCATGAGTTCAGACAAAAACAGGTCTCAAGACAAAAAGATGAAATGTTATGGTGTTCACTACTTGTATATTTTGAAATACACATCTTCATCTTATTAGCTGACTCTATTAAGAACAATATTTAAGTTGCAGCTGCTGATTTATGAAATATTTAAACATCTAAATATTCACATTAAATTGACTCCTTTAAAAAAATAAAAATAAAAATAAAAAAAGCACCCAGAACGGAGCCAGTACATTACAAGAACGTCAAACTACCCAAATGCAATGTTTAATACAATCGAGGGTGCATTAAATAAACAATTTCAAAAGCACTGTGATCGATCCTTCACTGGCAGAGGGCTGCACATGAGGACTTAGTACATTCTTTCCCTCTCCAATTTCTATTATAGCTTTATTTTTATTACAGTATCAGCATACAGAAATTTAATCAGAGCTATGATAAGCATATTCACTAAGCTACTGTTACATTTGCAAATTGTTGTGATGTGTCAGCTGTAATGCATCAACCCTTGATCTTGCATTCAAGTCCAAAACCACCATTACTAATGTGCTTTTTCCACAGGAAGAGAAGCGTTTTTGCTAAACAGAAGAAAAACAGAAGATAGGTCTCAAGTTGTAATGGGGAAAGTCTAGGTTGGATATCAGGAAAAACTATTTCACTAGAAGGGTGATAAAGCATTGGAATGAGTTACCTATGGAGGTGGTGGAATCTCCATCCTTACAGGTTTTTAAGACCAGGTTTGACAAAGCTCTGGCTAGGATGATTTAGTTGAGGTTTTTCCTGCTTTAGGCAGGAGGTTGGACTCAAATGACCTCCTCAGGTCTCTTCCAACCCTTATCTTCTATAATATGGAAGGCGCTCAAAAATATATATAGCAGATCAGACCAGAAAAGGGATGCAGATGAGCCAAGTCGGAATTGCAAATGAAGCGGGGATTTAAATTTTCCCTGCTTCATTTGTATAAACATGGCTGCCGCTTTTTTCCGGCTCGGGGCTTTGCTGGAAGAAAGCACCAATCTAGACGGGGATCTTTCGGAAAATAAAGCCCTTTCCGAAAGGTCCCTTCTTCTTCTTTAAAATCAGGAATAAGGGTCCTTTTGGAAAAGGCTTTATTTTCCGAAAGATCCCCATCTAGACTGGCGCTTTTTTCCACAAAGCCCCGAGCCAGAAAAAAGCAGCAGCCATGTTTATACAAATGAAGCAGGGAAAATTTAAATCCCAGCTTCATTTGCAATTCCGACTTGTCTCATCTGCATCTCTGCTAAACCCAAAGTTGTGAGTTCAATCCTTGAGGGCAGTGTTTAGGGATCTGGGGCAAATCTGTCAGGGATGGTACTTAGTCCTGCCGTAAGGGCAGGGGACTGGACTCAGTGACCTCCCAAGGTCCCTTCCAGCTCTGAGATAGGTTGATTAAACTTGATTTAAACTTTATTTTAAATAAAGTAAAACATTACGTCCAATGCAAAAGGTTTCCATGTTTTCTTTATTTATGGCAGAGGGCAAGAGGGAGGAACAAGAAGGACTGAGGTTCAGAGCTGCCCATGGACCAGACCTGCTCTTCTAGGGTTTCGGGGTGAGTGGATTTTGCGGACCACCCCACAGGCTCTAGAGCTGGGGACAAAAATGAGGAGTTCAGCGTGTGGGATAAGGGTGAGTGCAGAATCTGGGCGTGAGGTCTGGGCAGGAAGTGAGGTGTAGGAGGGAGTGAGGGTGGGAGGTCTGGGTGCAGGAGCAGGCTGGAAGCAAAGTGTCTGGCTGGACATACACAAATCCATGGGTTCGGACTTAATGCATCCGAGGGTACTGAGGGAGTTGGCAAATGTCTGAGGAGCCTTTGGCCATTATCTTTGAAAAGTTGTGGAGATCGGGAGAAATCCTGGATGATTGGAAAAAGGCAAATGTAGTGCCCATCTTCAAAAAAGGGAAGAAGGACGATCCAGGGAACTATAGGCCGGTCAGTCTTACCTCGGTTCCTGGAAAAATCATGGAAGGGATCCTTAAGGAATCCATTTTGAGGCACTTGGAAGAGAGGAAAGTGATTAGGAATAGTCAGCATGGATTCACAAAGGGCAAGTCGTGCCTGACCAATCTGATTAGCTTCTATGATGAGGTAACTGGCTCTGTGGACGTGGGAAAGTCAGTGGATGTGATATAGCTTGACTTTAGCAAGGCTTTTGATACAGTCTCCCACAATATTCTTGCCAGCAAGTTAAGGGAATGTGGATTGGATAAATGGACAGTAAGATGGCTAGAAGGCTGGGCCCAGCGGGTAGTGATCAACGGCTCGATGT